CACCAGTGTCAGAAATTAAAACTGAGAATTTTCTTTTTTACAATATATATTTTTAATTCATTTAAAAATAACAGGCAAGGTAGATGGGGAAAATGGTTAGGGCAAAAGATGGTCATAGGAGTGAAACCAAAATGCTCCAGTTATAAGGTACAAACTTCCAGTTATAAGATGAACATGTAGTGATTTAACGTATAGCATAGTGATAGTTAACAATACTGTTTTGTGTACTTGAAAATTGTTAAGAGGGTTGATCTTAAAAGTTCTTACTACACACACACACAATGGTAACTATGTGAGGTGATGATGTGTTAACTAAACTTACTGTGGTAATCTTTTGCTATATATATATATATGTATCAAATCATCATGTTGTACTCCTTAAACTTATATGTCAGTTATATATCAAAGCTGAAAATAAAAACATCAAACCCATTGCATGTTAACACAAATAACATATTTTTATGAGAAACAACTATACAAAGAATTTAGTGTGAAGAGTGGCATTATTTGAATTTTTGCAAATCTTTTTAACGTCTGACCTAACAGAAGTCAGCTGCCTACTCATATCTGTTTCTGCATTCAATCTATTGTGATACGTTGTTTTAGTCAAAGCATATGAAGAAAATCCAGCCTCACACTGGTATACAGTTAGAAAAGGGAGGAATATTTTAATAGACTTTTCAGATAATTATGATTATATTTTTTGATATTACACCAAAACTTGACAAATGGTAGTTTCTTAAAGATTGGTTGCAACGTGGAATCTGAAACTATGTCTAAACAAATTTTGTTAATATGTTCTATTAAAATTCATTGGTCTATCTTGTGGTTTGAATGGATCTTTTACCTATGCATGATTTTGTAATCCTACACATTGGTCATTGGAAAATATCAGTTGCCTGAGTAATGCAAATACTTTGAATGCTGACATACTTCATTACACATTATTCAAAAAACTTCACATTTGTTAATATCACTACCAATTTCATCAGAAAATTTTTTAAGGATTGGAAACCATCAAGCTCACATGGCAGATGCATGTTTTCCAAATTTCTAAATTAAGCTTGAAAGTTCAAATTTTAATCATTGGCAGCCAACACTCTCAGTTGTTTTCCTTGAAGTGACAGGTTTACTTTGTTCATTTTTGAGAAAATGTCTGCTAAATGCCCAAGTCTGAATAACCATAGTTTGTCTGTCCTTAGTCCTTTCAAGCAAAAATGATGTTCAATAAAAAAACGTGGCTAGTTCAGCTAACAACTCAAACAGTTGCACAAGTGCTGGTCCTTGAAACAACCTTTTACTCTGCAACACAAGCGTTTCATAATTACCAGAAGAATATTGAAATGATCTGAACCTAAGGATCGTGATTTAATAATGTTACTAATTTTACTGCTTTATCAAGAGTAATTCTTAAGTATAACTGGATTTTTTTTCTTGAAAGTACATAGTGGTGAAAAATGCAATGATTGCTAGCATGGCACTGAATTTATTTACTCTAAAGGGCAAGCAGTTTTTTTTAAAAATACATTTTTATTTTGAAGTACAGTCACTTTACAATGTTGTGTCAATTTCTGGTGTACAGCACAATATTCAGTCACATAGGAACATACATGCATTCGTTCTCATATTATTCTTCACCATGGGATACTAAAAGATATTGAATATGGTTCCCTGTGCTGTACAGCATAAACTTGTTGTTTATCTCTTTTATATGTATTAGTTAGTATCTGCAAATTGAACTCCCAGTTTGTCCCTTCCCACTCCCTTCCTCCTCTGGTAACCATCAGTTTGTTTTCTATGTGAGTCTGTTTCTGTTTTGTAAATAATTTCGTTTGGCTTTTTTTTTTTTTTCAGATTCCACATATAAGTGATACCATGTGGTATTTTTCTTTCTTTCTGGGTTACCTCACAAGGGCCAGCAGTTTTACTCAGCACTCCTTTCACACCATCAATGCAAATGTCAACACAATGAAAAGAAAAAGAATGTCATTATTATTATGAAAATATTTTTGACCTCATTGATCCACTGAAAGTCCTCAAGGACCCTCCACAGGGATCCACAAAACACTCTTTTAAGAACTGCTGCTCTAGGTTTTCCGTGGTAACAACGATAGGAGACAGTCCTCACCCCTAGTGTTGAGAGAATAAAAGGAGGAATTTGAATTTTTAAAACTTAGAAACTTAGAAGAAGGGACCTGTGGAGTTGAAACTCAGACCTCCTCCGGGGGAAAGAGGACACTTTACTGGGGCTGGCTTCTATGAGTTCCTAGGAAGGGGCCCATAGAGTTGGAAACTAGAGCTTGAGAAGGGGGTACCTGCTGATTGGTGTCTCGGAAGTGGTGTAATGAGGCTGCTTTTGCAAGTGTTGGAAAAACTGTAAGCTGCGTTTCACTGCTGCTATGAAAAGGAGCTGTGGCTGCCACGGTGAAGAAGCTGCTGGAGTGAGATGCACAGGAATTGCCACCAGAGAGGCAAACAAGAAGGAACAGGTCCTGGCTCCCTCCTCCCACCATGCAGCTCCCACTCAAGGCTCTGATAGGCAGAGCCCAACAGAGACACAGCAAAGTGGAAATGTGGTTTGCAGAGTCTTGGCTCCAGCATGAAAAAGCAGAGTATGAAAGGGTGGGTTTGGAACTAAGAGACAACAGTGGGCATGTTTGGATTTATTTGCTCTTGTTTGCATTAACGCTTCGATTTCCTCCCATTCTTCTTTATTAAATTTTATTTTTGAATAAGTAGAGCATTAATATGCTTCAAAAACTTAAAAAATACAAAGAAGTGTACCCAAAGGAGTGTCCTCACTCCCTTATCCCTTTAACCCATACCCTCATCTCCTGTAGATAATCCACTTCATTGTTTTCTGATTTATCCTTTGTGTTTGTGCGTGTGCATGTGTGTATGTTTAAAAATTAAGCAGATACATATGTCTTCTTATTCCCTTTGTCTTTTAGACAGAAGCATATTATATATAACTCTTTGCACTTTGCATTTTTTATTTACTATATTCTGGAAATCAGTTCATATAGAGTTTCTACTGTCTTTTTTATAGTACTTCATAGTTCTTGAACCAAACTCCATCATTTATTTAATGAGTCTTTTCTGTTTGGGTATTTAAGATATTAATAATTTTTGAAATTACAAATTATGTTACATGAGCAACCTAGTGCATGAATATTGTTATATTGTTGGAGGTGTATCTTCAAGGAAAATTTCTAGAAGTGGGATCACTGGGTCAAAAGGTGAATTTAGCCATGGTTTTGTTAGATATTGCCAAATTTATCTTCATTTTTATTCCTATGGGTAATATATAAGTGCCCATTTCTCTCGTTTCACTAGTAGAGTATATAATCAAGATTAGAATTTTTGCCAATCTGATGAATAAGAAATGCTGTATCTGTATAGTTTTAATTTGCATTTATCTTATTATTAGTTAGGTTGAACATCTATTCATGTTTAAAGATGAGTTTTATATTTTTGTTGTTGTTAATTTTCTATTCATATCTTTTGCCCATTTTTATACAGCATTAAAGTTTCCTTTCAACTTTAAAAAGTTGTTTATTAGAAATTTTGGTGCTTTATCTATGATATATATTGTAAACATTTTCTCTAAATTTGTCCATTTTTTAAAAAAAATTGTTTATGGAGTTTTTGCCCTGCAAAACCTTAATTATTTTTTAAGTATTTAAATTTATCAATTTTTTATTTTACTGCATTTTTGCTTTGAGAATTAATTAGAAAGAACTTCCCCATACCCAGGCTGTAGAGGAATTTACCCATAATTTCTTCTAATACTTGTGCTGTTTCAGTTTTTATATTTAGCTCTTTGATCCATTTGGGGTCTATGGTATCTTTTCCCAAACGGCTGCTTTGGTTATTTCTTTCTGTGTAACAAACTACCCCACAGCTTAGTGGCTTGAAACAAGGTCCGTGCTGTTACCTTGCACAGGCTCAGCTGGGCAGTTCTGCGGCCGCTCTTGCCTGGGTTCCCCAGCGCAGCCGAAGTCTTTGGGGCTGGGGCTGTTGAGAGGCTTTGTGTGGATGCTGGGACAGCAGAGCCCATCCCTCCCCATGTAGTTCCAGGCCTCTTCTCTCCGTGCAGTCTCTCCATATGTCTTTCCAGTAGGTAGCTGGACTGCTTCTTTTTCTTTTTTTCCTTTTTCTTTTCTTTTCTTTCTTTCTTTTTTTTTTTTTAACAGTTTAATTGTGGTAGATTTCACATACCATAAAATTCACCTATTTAAAGTTTACTGTTCTGCGGTTTTTAGTACAGTCACAGAGTTGTACAACCATCACCACAATCTAATTTGAGAGTATTTTTAACACCCCTGAAAGAAAGTCTGTACTCATTAGCAGTCATTCCCCATTCCTGCTGCAGCCCTCATCCCTGCTCCAGCCTCAGACAACCACGAATCTACTTTCTGTTTCTATGAATTTGTCTGTTCTGGATATTTCATGTAAATGGGATTATACAATACATAGTCTTTTTTGACTAGCTCTTTTCACTTACCATAATGTTTTCAAGATTCATCCATGTTATAGTATGAATCAGAACTTCATTCCTTTTTATGTAGGAATCCATTGTATGCCGATAACACATTTTGTAACTATCCAGTTATCAGTTGGTGGACATTTAGGTTGCTTCCATATTTTGGCTCTTATGAATAACACTTTGTACAAGTTTTTGTGGGACATACATTTAGATTTCTCTTGGATATTTACTATTGTCAAACCCAAGTTTATGTGCCTGACACACAGTGAGGCCAAATAAACTCAAACATCGATTCTGGAACAGAGAAAAGTTTATTGCAGGGCCAAGCAAGAAGAATGGGTGTTTTGTGCTCAACAGACCCAAACTCCCCAACTGTTTTCAGAGAAGAGTTTTTAAAGGTAACATTTGGGGTGAGGGCTGCAGGATGTGTGACTTTCTTCTGATTGGTTGGTGGTGAGGTAAGAGGGTGGTGTTCCAGGAATTGCAATCATTAACCTCCTGGTTCCAGCCAGTCTGGGGTCTCAGCATGGAGTCACCATCCTCCACCTGGATGGAGGCCTTAGCTGCTGCAGAAGAACTCAAAGATATGTATTAGACTGTTATGTAGAGGACTTTGTTTTGTCCTGCACTATTATTTTTTGATTGCTTTCCCTTTGTTTCTGCATTTCCTCACTTCCCTAGTTAGTAACTGCTTGAATCTGCCCTTTGGAACTCAAGGAAGCTCTAGGAGGCTGAAACCTTTTTCCTACAAACAAGAAATGGGAATACGGAAAGGCCCTTGTACTCTGGAGGGCCCTACAGGGTCCTGCTCAGTTTCATTTCCTAACAACACTGAGCAGTGTGGTAGGATGGAGGGAATATTGACCGGGGAGACCTGGATTCTAGTTTTGATTTGTCTGTGAATCGCTGCTTGACCTTGGATAAATCACTCTGTGAGTAGATCAGTGATTTTCAACATTTTGGTCACATCTCAAAACAGAAAAAAATGCTTTTTATACCATGGTCTAATACTTACATATCTCTATCTATCTCTCTATCTATCTATCTGTAACTAAAAAAAGTTGCATAATATAATACTTATCCCTATTATTGGAGGATTATGTTAGTTTTCTGTTGTGTTAAAAATTACTACAAATGCAGTGGTTTAAAACAACATGCGTTTATTATCTCAGTTTTCATGGGGTCGGAGTTCAGGTATAGCTTAGCTGAATGCTCTGCTGAAAGTCTCACAGGCTACAGTCAAGGTGTTGGCTGGGGCTGCCTTCTTACCTGCAGTTCAGGGTCTTCTTCCAAGTTCATGTGGTTGTTGGCAGAATTAATTTTCTTATAGCTGTAGAATTCTTGCTTCTCCTTCAAGGCCAGAAGGAGAATCTCTCTTTTAAAGGGATTACATAATTAGGTCAGGCCCATCCAGGATAATCTCTTGTTTGATTATTTCAAAGTCAACTGATTTTTATCTGAAGACAATATGCAGAATTGACAATCCTGGAGAAAAACATACAATCTAAAAGTTGTGAGTTACGTTTTTATACAGGGACTGTACTGAGAACTGTAGCCTGGGAGACAGCCTCTCAGATAGCTCTGAAGAACTATTTGAAAGAGGTAAGGGAGGAGACAGAATATGTTTTTTGCTGAAAAAAAAAAAGAAAAAAACATGTAGTCTAACATCAAAAGATTACTGCTAGTCACAGAAAACAGACATCTCAAGTTAATGATTTTAGTGCTTTTCAGTGTGCCGGAGGATACAAGAGTCTGGGATCGGTACCAATGATTTCTTAGATATGCATATGAACTCTCTAGGGCCAGTATCCTGGGTTTTTTCCATCTTGAGTTCCCCTCAGGGCTCACCATTGAAAGGCTGCAGTGGCTAACGGCTTGATGTTGGGCAGCATTCCTTGTTTACTGGAATAGCAGGCAGCTTTTTTTTTTTTTTTTTTTTGCTCTGCATTATGAACCTTAATTATTCTGCAAAATCCCTTCCTTTGCTATTTAACTGTCATAATCTTGGGAGTGATATCCCACTGTATTCACTGGTCCCGCCCATACTCGAAGGGAGTGGATTGTATAAGGTCATTGGGGTGGTCATCTGAGAATTCTGTTACCACAAATATACTGTATTCTGATATTTTCTACTCTTTTCTTTCTTTTAAGAATTAGACTTTGTCACCCAGTTAATGAGTTGGGATCACTAGCTTGAAAACCCTGGACTGGATGATTTTTAAGGGCCCAGAATCCCTTGGGCATGTGGAGGTCTGTGGCCATAGGGCAGGAGACAGTTGTATTAATAACTTGTGCAGAGAGCTCGAAGGTATCAGTGCTAACTTGACCAAGTTGCTTTGGCTCTGATCCTCATAGAGAACTCCCGTCCTTCCAGGTTGAGAGGTGAGCCTTTCAGCATGCTGGGGAGGTTTATCTGGACAACTCCCAAGAGGAATGAACAATCAGGACAAGCTGACAAGCTGTCATGGATTCTGCCTAGCTCATTAGCTCAAAGGAATGCCCTGGAGGCAGGGTGACGTGGGGAACAGGAAACGGGCCCCGGCTCAACACAGCCACCAGCTGTGTGACCTGCTTAGGACAATGCTCCTCTCTGGGCCTCAGTTTTCATCTCTGAAAAAGAGATGCCTAAGGACCCTTCACATTCAGAACATTTATGACTCTGAGAGGAAGCAGAGTTGCCATATCTCTTGGAGGTTGAGGTAGAAAGGAGACCATCTCCAAAAGGCGGCTTTATTCTGCTGGTGTTTTCTGGAAGAGAAGCCAGACTGTGAACTCCCCAAGAGCAGGGGTGGGAGCCTCCTCACCTTCCGGTTTCTGCCCAGGCATGGAGCCTGGCATCTAAATCTTTGTTTAGCAGAACAAAGGGACTCTGGAATGAGGAATTTTTGTTGTTGTTGATGTTTGTTTAAGCTCTGGAGTCCCAGATCCCACTTTGAAAGGCATCATATCATCTTGCTCATGAAAACAGCTGATCATTAGCACTTCAGCCAGTGGAGCTATGAATTCTGCCTTCTAAGGAATTCATAAGAAACTAGAGTTCTTTCTTTTCAGAGGCTGGTGGGACAACGGGGTGGTGCAGAAGCTGGGTGACAAGAGACAAGAGTGCTAGTTCCTTGGGTCTGTCTGAGACTTGAGGCATCTGCAGGACATTACAGCACCTCATCTCCTTTTAGAGCCACTCCCAGCTCCCTTCTGCAGTGGGGAGATGAGATAGGAATCCAAGAGGGGAAGGAGAGGACTTGTGGGCTGAGCTGAAAAATGGGGAAATAGAGATAGCGATGCGAGGAGGGAAAGAAAGGAAGAAGAGAGAGAGAAACAAAGGAAAAAAGATAGATTTTAACAATAGTTTCCCCCCTCCCTGGGAATTTTCAAAGGCAAAAATTCCTGCAAAACCCCAAATCCTTTCTCTTTCCCTTTTTCCATCTCTCTCTCTTTTTTTCTAACAAAAGTTACTGAGCTAATGCAGAGGGAGCTGAACCGGGACACCCAAAAAATCCACTTTGGGATCAATACAGAAAAGTTTAAGAGGCTGACCATCCATGGAGAGAGCCCTACTGGGCTTCAGAATTACATGGCCCTAAGACAGAAGCATATTCACCAGTGTCAGTGCTTATCAGTGATAAGTATGGCTTTTATTTTTTAATTCATTTGTAACTCACAAGTCATCAGCTGGCAGAGGACTTGGTAGGGAAGAGAGGTATTACTTTCTGGCCCCTTCAAATGCCCCACATGGAAGGAAACCTTGCCTGCCTCTCCGGGATGCTGGGAGGAAGAGACGTCCACAGTGAGCCTTTGTGGAAGCAAAGGAAGCTCGGTTTAGGATGGCTGTGGGATAAGTAAGTTCATGTGGCCTCTCTCCCCAGTGATGTCTGCCCCTCCCTGAGGAGGCCACTGTGAGGTGGGTGGAAGGAATGTGTCCAGGCCTCTGTGGGAGCTGGTGAGTCAGCCATGAGGCGGTGAAGCAGAATGGACCAGGAGGAAGAAGGCCCTGAATGACTCACCAGCGGCTGTTTCACTGCCCATCACAGACCAGGAGGAGAGGCTCAGGAACCAAGGGCAGGGAGCCCAGCCTTGCAAGCCAAGGGCAAGAGTCACAGAAGCCTCAGAAGAGGGGTTGTTCTGGTCTCTTGGTGAAGAGGAAGTAGGTGATTGTTTAGGGGAAGGGCCCTGACAACTCTCTGGACCCCAGTGCTTGCCATCCACTCTGGGGTTACCCAGGGGAACTTCACTCTTCAGTCTTCTGGGTCTCGTGCCCCTGCTACCTATGTGTGTGCCTGGAGATGCTCATTACTTTCAATATTAAGATAAGGAAAGCTAGTTAGGAAGGTGAATCCACTGCAAAATAAATGCTGCGATGCATTTACCAAGGAATGAATGGTCTATTGTTTGGAATTGTTCTACCCCTGCCCTCCTTCCATTAGCACAGCTCATGGGGAGCCAAGTGTGAACTAAAGTTGTTGTTCCATGATGAAATAGTACGAGGTAAGGGCCACAGGACTGCTGCAGACAACACATACATACAGGTTTCAAGGAAGAAGAGATCATTTTAGGCAGGGTGCCTAAACATTTTAGGTTTCAGAGAGTTGGGAATTGAACGAATTGGGCCTGGGATAATATTCTATGACACAATTTGTCAGGGCTCCTATAATTTCATTGTATAATTTTACCATAATTTATTTAATCAATACTCTATTGACAAACATTTATTTCCATTTTTTTTGTATTATAAATAATACTATAATGAACATCCTTATACACACACTTTTGTGAACTTAACCAATTTTTTTTTAAAGGATGTGTTTCTTGGAAGAAAGTTGATGAGCCAAAGGGTATGCACAAATTTTAAAAATCATCATCTCTTTTTCTGATTACCAAATTAATACATGTTCACTATAAAACACTACAAAGGGTATGGTTTTGAATATGGAAGTCTCTTGTAATCTCATGTCCTGGAAATATTTTCTGATAAAGATTGGTGTATATTTTTAAAACTTTTTTCAATGAAACATTAACATCTTGTAATAGACACACCTCCAAAGACTGGCTTTCCATCACACTTAGAATGGACTGCAAACCCTCTGTGGCCCCATGTCCCACCACTCTCCCCTCCGCTTTACTATGCAGCTGGGGAGTCCTTGCTGCTTCTAGAACCAGTTAAACTTGTCACTACTACAGGCCTGTGATGGCTGATCCTTCTGTTTGGAATGCCCTTTCCCCAAATATTCACAAGATTCCTGCCCTCACTTTATTCAGGTGTCTGTTCAAATGTTACCATTTTAGAAGGGCCTTCCCTGACCATCCTACCTAAAATAGCATGGCACTTATTATTATCTGATGTTTTATTATATATATGTATATTACTTTATTGTCTGTCTAGAAAGCTGTCTGAGAACAAGCACTATCTTGTTCTTTGAACATCCCCAGCACCTGGAACAATAACTGGCACATAGCAGGTGTTCAATAAATGCATGTGGAATAACTGAATAAGATGAAACTATGTTTATCATTCTGAAACCTTTTTATTTAACAGTATATCAAGGATATCTTTTCACATTAATATATAAGTCTTTTTAGTCTTTCTAAGGCTCTGTAGTAGTATTGTAATTTATTTACCAATTCTCTTTTGATGGGCATTTGGGTTGTTTCCAGTTTTTCAGTATTATAGACAATGATGCCTTACACATCCTTGAATACATATCCTTGCATGCTTTTAATGTTTTATATCCTTTATCTGAGATGATGAAAAAACCTACAAGTGTAAACATCTAGCATAATGTTGGAAATGCAGATTTGGAGCTGAGAGATACCAGCCTGCGGTAGACTAGAAACTTCTTCACACATACCTGAGCGTTGAAATCATAGGAATCAATGAAATATAAAGAAGGATACTGAGCAAAGCTCAGAAACAGGAATCTTAAGCAATATCTGAATTTAGAAAGCAGGAGGAGGAGGACAAGAAATTTTTTATCCATTTGACAGATACGTGTTGATGGGTACGTTCTAAAAGTTGGGAGTACAGCAACACATGGGTGATGTAGCACTTTCCCCTGCCTTCCTGTGGCTTAGAGTCTAATGGAAGGAAGGACATGGAGAGTAACAAATCAGAAAATATAACGGGGGGAATAGGTCAGGGTGGCGCTGAAGTACAGAGGAAGGGACCTACCACAGACTAGAGATTTTAAGGAACGTGTTCCAGGTAACATTTAAGCTAAGACCGGAGTAAGTTAGCCAGGAGAAGGGGTGGGGATCAGGAGTTTCAGGCTGAGGGAGGCTTAGAGGAGTGAAGGAGCATGGCACACCCAGGGCACTGAAAGAAAAAAGTTAATGCGACAGAAGAGTGGTAGTGGGTAGAGTGGGTAGTGGGGAGAGACTGAC